ACGTAGGAGTGAACAGAAATGGATCTGGCAAATTAAATACGATCAACATGCCAAATGTGGGTTCAACAATCATATCACTGCTGTCATGTTGAACCTCTTAATCTCTGAAATGTTCAGGAGCCAAAATTCTGAATGTTTTTAGCTCAGTTGCCGTGTTTATTACAGCGTTTTCCCAAACTGTATAAAAGGGAACGTTTGTAGTTACAGGCTGTCCCCAGCGTTATATTCATACATGAAAAAGTTTGATTGACATGTGCCTGCATCGGCGTGAAATACATTTTTTCTCGTCTCCTTGTTTTCATGTTTGTTGTTTATTAATAAATTAAATACACTTAATGAAAATTAGCCTTTGGATTGAATTATCAGCCAAATTCTTTGATTTTCAATATTTTCAATTTTAATTTTCCAGTCCTGACATTAAAGTTTCTGCACACGTTTAGGAGACTGCTGTGTAGTCCCCAGCCTTTTTTTGCGCCACGGGCCGGTTTAATGTCCGACAATATTTTTCACGGACCGGCCGTGTCGTGGATAAATACAACAAGATAAAACCAGTACCGGTACCAAAAAATAAGATTTATTCATAACACACGGGAAAAGACCCAGGCAAACAGAGTTAACGATAAAAAAGATTTAAAAAATAACGCTGAAAACCGTGAATTTCACACCCGAGCTTCAACTCTCGCTGCCCGCTACCAAATGACTCACGGACGGGTCCATGGCCCCGGGGGTTGGGGACGCTGGTGTAAACCAAACGGTGAGCTGCTGTGAGCAGAGTGAGGCAGATACTGTGCAAAAAAATAAAATTGTAGTTAACCTTCTCATGTAGCGGTAAATGATTTCAGCCCAACATAGCTGATGAATGTAAGTAAACAGAGATCAGCTGAGCAGGTACAGAAACTTAAATCCCACAGTTTGCCTGGTTCTGTTGTATTTTTAGAAGCTTCTTTACAGTTTTACTGACTTCGAGCTGTTGTAATGTGGGCTAATTGTAACAGTTATTGGGAACAAAGTCTATCCCTGATGCTTCACTTCAGTCTGTCCTTCTGTTTGGGGTCCTCTCTTTCGGCTCTCTCTGTCACTTTGTGGCTAATGGCTCTCTCTCTGAGCCTGTCCCTGGAGATGTCTTCCTGTTAAAAGTGAGTTCTTCCTCTTTACAAATGTCTGCCCACCAAAACTGTGTCTAAACTCTACAAAAGGGCTAGAAAAACAAAATGGTAACAACACACTATATGTGCACCACACAACAAACATCGACTTGTTCCAAAAGGTGGAGGGAATTCGTGCGGAAAATTCTTCATTACTCCACATATTACTAACAAATTTCATGCACACCAGCAAAAATGTTGGAGACAGTGTGGTCACCCGAACGCCAATCACTCTCATATCTTTTGGACGTGTATACAATTGACTTCATTTTGGGACAGTATATTCTAGTTAACAGATGACATCATGTCCTATGCCATCCCTAAGGACCCCAGGATCTTCTTACTGGATTTTCTACCGAGAGATTTGATTCTAAAAAAGAACAGATCTATTTTTAAAATCCTGTTGATCGCATCTAAAAAGGCCATAACAAGGAATTGGCTTAAGAAGGATCCTCTCCAAGTAGAGCAAGTGCTAGAGATTATAGAGGAAATACATCTGATGGACAGGCTGACTTTCTTTCGATGACTTAAAGGTCATCCTTTTCAACAACATTGGACTAAATGGCATAAATATAAGCAAAGACCTGAAGATTCTGTCACTTAATTCAGCTTACCTCTCTATTTGTGTGATGCTTGAACCAATTTGTTGTTGGGGCTCTCCTTCTGAAGACGCGTGTGCTACAGGCCTGAACCTTTCCAGGCATTGTATGTGAGATGCATGTGAGGAATTTCGTTACTGACGCTAACGGACCCGTACGGGGATCTAACTCTGATTCTGTCCTGTTCAAGGTGGAAATGAAAACTACTCGTTCACAAACTGCCCGCAGACGAGCTTTGTAAGGATGTGTGCAGAATGTTTTACAACTGTCTTGTGTTTTCCTGCTAGGAGCAGAGGAAGCCCTCCTACGCCGAGATCTGCCAGCGGGTGAAGGATACCCCGACGTTACAGCAACCAACCACCCCTAAGGAAGCTAAGCCAGCCTGCGCCGCCACAGCAGGCGAGGAGAGGAAGTGCCCCGACGCCTCCACGCCTTCAGGGGAGGCCAAGGCCAGAGAGACTTACCACCCCTCCTCCAAACCCAGTTCAACGGGTGCCACCACAGGCAGACCCCCGAAGGAGGTCCGAAGGCCGGGTGGGCGGTGGGCCTCTCCGCCCCCACACCCAGGGAAAACCCCCAACAAAGATTCCCACCACACCCCACCCAAATCCCCGCAGTAGGGTGACCTCCTTTCCCTCCCCAAGTCCTCCAACCCCACTACTATGCTCCACAGATGCGTTTAAAAAAATAAAGGAAATACAAGTCAGGGCTACTCGATACTTATATCCCAGAATCACCCGTCACAAACAAGCATAGAGGACGCCTTCTTTTCTGGATCAGGGCTTGCAGACAAAAAGCACTTTACTGTGCATGTAGAGCACCGTTTCTTTTTCTTTATATTCTATTTATTGTTTTTGGTTTTTCACTTTTATTTCTCCTTTTCTCTTTTTGCATTACGTAGTGGTGTCAGCCTGTCAGGTGGCACAGACAACACTGAAATTTGTTCATTCTGTCCAAATGGCCTTGTGGGATTAAATTAGCCGCGTGTGTGTGTGCGTGCGTGTGTGCGCATGTGTGGGAAGCAGCAGGGCATTGTTGGAAGCCACCCCAAAGGATGATGGGAAAGGGTGCATAAAACAGACTTGTTTGGCTGTCATAATGAGGGGTTTGTTTGCATGTTGAGTGGTAGCATTGTGCAAATTTAAGTGGCTTAATTATGGGTCATTATTAGTCCTTTTGTTTTTAAATACATATTCACATCCATATGCAACTCAACATCACAAGAAGACTTGGATCCTTTGGTTTACATAGAATTTTTTGCAGGTTTGTTTACACTAGGTGGCTTTTATGTCTTTTTGGGGTTTTTTGCAAACCGTAGTTGGCTGTTGGTACAGTAATTGGTCATCCTCCCCTCGGCGTCTTCTCCCTCTGATCCTGTTCTTAAAGGATCACCCCTCCTGCTGTTATTCCCTCTCTGTTTTGCTAACATGCTAACTCACCATAGTGTGCGTCTGTGGCTTAACGTGGGGTCAGCGCTGTTTTGTTTTTGTTTTTTAGTATCACACAGGAAGGGCACATGACTTTCTCTAAAATGAGGCATCTTGTTGTAACAGTGAAAGTAGGTGAGGTGTTGCGCACACTGCATATGTGTCTGCAGACATTTAACTAGTCAGGAAGCTAAATTCTCTCCCCGCTTTTCATTTCCTGTCAAACTGTTGATCATTATTGTGGAAGGAAGGAAGATGCAGGGCAGGTTTTAGGCTGACAAACTTAAAAATCGAGCGGTGACGAGGAAGCCGCTTCTTCCCATCTGAAAGGGTTTTGTTTATTCTGGAGGCGAGGGAACGCTGGCAAGCAGGAAGGAGGAAATTAACACTAGCTACCAGCTATCAGTTCAGTAAACACGTCTGTCTACAGGCGCCGAACGGAGGGTTTTTTGGTTTTTGTTTAATTTTCTGGAAATCTGCTGAGACAGAGTGACTCATCAGGAGGCTGAGATGTGTGTTAGTTTCCTGCCATAAAATGGGACAAGTCCAGAGTTCAGTGTGGCGATTTGATCCAGTGGGAAGTTTCCTGTTCAAACTGTTCAAACCTCCTTTCAAACGGTGGCATGTTTGTAGTTCTTTCTCCTACTTATGGTGCTAGATATCAAAACCTGGAATCTGTTACTACAACTCCTCTGATACTGTAAGTAGAAATACTTGATTTACATCTGCAGACGTTTAATTGCACTGTTGTTGTTTTCTCAGACTCTCGCAAGCAAATTCATGTGATTAATCCTACCTAAAGTGAAAAAAGGGACTAACTTTGTTTTGTTTTTTGGGGAGGAAGTTGGGGAATGACACACACAGTTCAGTTTTCCAGGAGGGAAGTTGACGAACACCCTGCTGCATCATCTCCATTGACACAATCACTGAAGCTTTTTTGTCTTGTCGGTCATGTTGAAGCATCTGTGCAGCATTAAATTTTTGAAGACTGATGCTTAACGTTTTTTGTTCGTTTGTTTGTTTTTGTTCGGTGCTGCTTGAATAGACATGCAGTGGTTTGGATTTTTAACTTCGGGTTTTGGGTCAGTGAGGATTTTGTTGGAAAGTGGTGAAAATGGGGAAGTGGGATGGTTGAATAGACGAGTATATTTTTATGAAGGTAAATAACGAGTGGATTTTTTTCTTTTTTTTTTTCTGGAACGTGGTTTGCAATGTTGAAGTGAGAGAGCGATAATTTGGCTTTGGGGGTCCCATCGGGACTCGTGAACAGCCTTAAACCAAACATTTAAGTGCTGGAAGGTTTGGAGCAGGAAGGTGTGTAAAATCCATCCTTGGGGTGAAAATGTTCCGCTGTTTTCCTCAAGTCTATACCACTAGGATTGTTTATTATTGTTGTTTGGGGGTGTTTTGTTTTTTGTTTTCCTCCTCTCTGTCGGCGTGCTTTGTTGTTTTCTTCTAGTTTGTTTGCACTCTTTGATTTCTCTGAAAAAAATTGGAAAAGATCAACCGGAGCACACGGGACTTCCTCTGTTGCCGCTTCACTCTGGTTACCTTTGATAAATGGCAGCAGACAGGAGGACGATTTAAAGCACAGAGTAAGAGGAAACATCCTTTACTCACCTCGAGCCTGGCTCGTTTGAAGCGCCGGCACCCAGTTGGTCAGAGCTTTCATGGGACATAATCGAAGCAGCGATTTTTATACCAGAGCTGGTGGAAAATTTTGCATCCTGCACCAGAGTGAAGTAGCAAGCTCGCACGTTCAGGGAGGGCAGCTCCAGCTTTGGTTGGAAGGTCTGCCTACTGTAGCAACCACTTTGGCAGATAACCAACCGAGTGTGTTTTTTAATTTGAATGTAACTGTCTGAAAAATGACTTAAAAGACTTCCCTCCCTGCTCCTCGGTCATGTGCTCGGGTTCATCTTTTGAAGTCGTCACCTAAGATGCAAAAACACCCTGAAAAAAATAAATAAAAACCACTGTACTATACACAATATCTGTTTAGGTGGGACCTCGCATGTCTCGCTGAAGTCTTCCTGCAACAAAAAGCATTCTGGGTAATCCCACTAAGAGAAAACAGGAGCCTGGAGAAGGGAAAGCTTCATTTAAAGAGCCTGTACTCCTGGTCAGAGCTGCTTTTGATTTGGATGCTACAGCTTGAGTTTAGTGAAAAAAGAAAATATTTTTTTATTATTTTGAAGGACTGAGATGCACTTGGATGGGTCTATTATTTTCTCTTTTTTGTTTTCCTCATTGGTGGAAATGGTAAAACAGATGTAAATGCACCATATCCACTTATTTATAAAGCAGTGCTGTTTATTCCACAAGAAATATCATTAAGTTTTCTTTTTGGGAGAAGGAAAAAATGATGTATTGAGCTCTCAATATATATATATATATATACATACACACACACACACACACACACACACACACACACACACACACACACACACACACATATATATAAATGTGTGTGTGTTAAAAAAAATCCATCCAGTGTTTGAGAAACTTGAATTTTATTTAAACTTGAAAAATGACTTTGCCTTAACTTTTCTACAAGACAAGCATAGTTTTATTTCTTTTCAGAAAAGATCCCCAAAATGTTAACGAAGCGTGAGATGTGGAAATATTTAGTCACACCAGACGTCACAAGTCTTACTGCGAGAGAGAGAGAGAGTACAAATCTAGCAGCGTTTCCTTTCTTTTCCTACTTTTTGTTTTTTGTTTTGTGTAAAATGTACGAAAATCTTGGGTCATTCTTTTGGTTTCTTGTTCAATAGTTTCAGGTTTTTTGGGGATTTTTTTTGTGCAGGGGGGTGGGGGTGGGATAAAAACCTTGTAATTGCAAATCTAGTCAATACTGTATTAAATATGTGCACTTTGAAGTGTGTGCTTTGCTTGTACAGATGTAAATACTCAGAAAAATATAAGAGGTACCTTAAAATGATTATAAAAATATATTGATCCTTGTTAACTATAATGTCGCTATCGAGCTGGATGTAGACTATAAAAGAAAAAAAAAAGACGTGATGTCGTGCGTTCGGAAATATTTTTCTTTAACTACTATTGTTTTTCAGTTTGGGTGTGCTGAGTTTGATTCCTGCTCCGCTCTGCAGTGTGAGCAGATCATTTATTGTATTTTTTTTTGTTTTCGTTCTTTCATTCCTTTATAAACTTTCGCTGTGGGTTCGGTCGCACCTGGATGCTCAGGTGCGACAGTAACCCCGCCCTCCCTCTCCTCAGCGTTCACAGTCTGTGGTTCCGACAAAGCCGAGTGTCCACCGGCATCCTCTTCGAAGCTCTGGCTTCTTTTTCTTTCACTGATTACAGTTGATTTTGGGGGAATTTTCCTCACAGTGTGTTTGCTTTTTGGACAGTCTGAATGAAGCTTTTTAGCAAAACAAAAACAAAGCACTACATGTTGGATATTTACTCTGTTTTTGCCATTGTTGAGTACTCTGCTAACAGTGCCAAAAGATGAGACGTGACATGAAAGCTGCAGCTAAAGGCATTAATGCAAAACTTTAGGTAACACTAATACTTAAGATGAGATGTTCATGCATATGCAGCTCAGTAGGCTATAATCAAACTGCACTGTGTCCACATTGGTCGGGCAGCATGACTAGACTGCAGCTTTTATTTGAGAATATTAGAAATCCTCGTTCTGGCTCCAAATATCCACCAACTCTGGTTAACGATGACCATCTGAGGGCTTATTTTATTGGTTTTTGTCTGATGAGCTCAAACTCTATTTTCTGCTTTCTGTCCATATTTTAGGATGAGTGAGTATCACAGTTTTGGGGGAATCAGATTTCAGGAAATGAAAAGTCTGAGACCAGGAAGCGATGAAGCTAGGTTAGCAGAAAAACACTGGACGCCTGGCTCTGTCATGTTTTAAATCTGTTTTAAATTTCACTTGTCAACACATTTGATTTTTGCACATACACCAGTTTAAATGTGCGGAAAAATAAATAGAAACCAAATAAATTGCACATTTCTGTTGTTAGTCAGTGAACAGCACAAAAAAAGGCAACTAAACCTCACAAATCTTTTTGTGTGGCAGACCGCGTGCATCCGATTATTGGTTCTTACGTGTTTTGTTAGATAAGCCATTTTTTGGTTTGTTTTTCCCAAACAGAGCCACGTGCTTTATTATAAAGGACAGGCAAATACTCAAAATACATTTTTTAAAAATTAAGTTTTGTTTTCATAGAACAGCTAAAAGCTTTCCTGCAAAGGACCAAGCTTCAGTTTTAAAACAGGAATAGTTTTGCTAGATGTCGTTTCTCAGATTTAGTTTGTTTCACTGGTTTTTGTGCTCGGCCCTGTCATACACCTGTTTATTTAATGGGTTTCTTAGAGCTTTGTTACTGATTTTTGGATTTATCTGTGATAAATCGCAGCGTTCAGATTGTACCAACCTGCACAGTTAGAGCCAGAGATGATCTTGAAAAGCTATTCAACTTCCTCTTCACCTGAAACTGAACAAATTTTGCTGCAGACCAACAGGGGGCACCCTGAGTGAACCAGAGTGAATCGAGCAGGTTTTGTAGTTTTCACAATCATTGATAAATTGTCAGATTAGAAATAAAACAGTTGGTGGGCTTTTAGACTTTGCCCATAAAATCCTTTCAGATTGACTGGATTTACGACAGGTGGTTTTGGTTTTCACACAATAATGAGATGTTAGAAGTGTAGATGAGCCACAGTGGAAACTTCAGTGTGCCTATAATAAGCAGCTGGTCGTGGTGATGCCATCAGGATACCATGGAGGTGGTTCATGCTCCACTGATGTCTCTGGCAGAAACGCATTTTTCTACAGTCGGAAACCTGTAAAAATCTAAAAATTGAGCTTTTATTAATAATTTCAACCACTTCTGTCAGAAACATGGTGAGGGAAAATGTTTACTGGAAGTTCAGAGAGTGGGAAGAGTTGTTTAAGTCTAATCTGGCCAACGTCTGCAAATGTATTCTCGGTTTATCCATTTCTCTGTGCGTTTGGGTCGGGGTCCAGTAATCCCTTTTGGTCTGATTTCATTTAGTAAGCCTTTTAGATGCTGGACAGAAAACCAGAGCTTTTCAGACAGAAATCAATAAAAAGAAAGCCTGAACCATCGAAGCTGGCCAATCAGCAGCCAAACCGACTTTGACGTACCATCGGGCGGATGCTGGTTTGCTGAAAAGAGGGATTGTTGGTGGACACTTCTTGGTTTAGTCGAGGCGATGTGATGTGTGACGCCCATCAGAAGCTTCCCAGTGAAGCACATCTTGAACACTCGGCACTTGAGGTGGGGGATTATTGCAGCCTGCCGCCAGGTGACGACGAGTCTCGGTCCCTCGGATTGTGCATTTCGTTTAAAAAAAACAAAAAAACAAGGCGACTGTTTGGAGTCGTCATTGCGGCTGTTTGAGATAAGTTTCCTGCCCAGGTGTCGATGTGAGCGCGAGACATCCAAGGAGCCAAAAACCATTCGACCCGCTCTGTGCAGTTTTGTTTTTTTCTCTTCAGATTAATGTTTGTGATTTCTTGTTCATGTTCATCAGCTCCAAGATTTCCTCTACTGAGAAATAAATGTACAAATGTTTTGTTTTTTTCCTATGTGCTTTTTTGTTTGTTGGGGGGGTTAAAGGCTCAACTGGAATGAGAGTAGTTTACCTTGTTCAGAGCGATGTTTCTCACGTACAGTACATTTAACACGCAGTTTGAGATGTCTGTTAAAACCATTTGATCACATGTGGACTGCAGTTCGATGTGGCAAAGAAAACCAATAACCGTGCCATTATACAACAGTCGTTTTTGTCTTGGCTGGGCAGTTTAACCTGTACATACATAGCTGAGCGCTTACCGTCTCGGGCTTTTATTTTTGTTTTTTTACTTTAAGATGTGATTTTCCTGTTACTGGAAGCCTGGAGACACCTTCAGTTTGACACCAGTGACTGCAGGAGCGTTTTTCACGCGGTGTAACTTGCGGTGGATCCCCCGCCTGAGGTCGAGGCGTCTTCTGCCTCTGGTGGCCTCGAACTTTGAGAATACAAACTGGGCATCTCTGAACTGTGAATGTGTGCATGTGTGGAAAAAAATAAAATGTACCACCCAGCTAATCCAGGCCGATGCAAAAGTGACTCTTTCCACAAGCGCGGTACCTCAGACTGGATGGTACCGCTTTCAAAGGGATCTCTTATTCTGGCGGGAAAGACACCGCGAGCTCCGCGCCTCTTCAGTCTTGCCGGCGTTCATCCAGATGCTCAGCGGTGGCATTTTTGAAGGAGCTCCCTTTTCCTCGTGGACTTCTGCATGGAGCGTCACACTTCATATCAGCCTGTTGGTCGTCTCAGACCTCCTTCCTGTTCGTCCATTTTGACAGTGCCATTTTTTTTCTTTGTTTTTTTTGTTTTTCCTCCACGAGGGTTGCATCTTGTCATTTAAAAAAAAAAAAAAAGACCCCCTTGTGTTTTTGTGTTTTCATTTTGTTTTTCAAAGATGTATAACAATGAATGCACATCAACTGACTGGAAAAGGACTCTATGAACTCACTGTGGTTTAACTCATTAACACTCTTACCATGCTACGCTAACAGCTGTGGACAATCGACGACTCCACCGTGTTGGGGTTTGGACAGATAATTTTGCCTAACGACACCTTTAACAGACGTGGAATGGAGGTTTGCGATCAAGAGGGCTTCTCTCTATTTTTTTTGTTTTGTTTTTGTTTGTATTTTGTTAATTATTTTTTTTTGTTTGGGTCTTTTCTTCCATCGAGACTGGAATCAAGCGTACATGTCAGCTATAGATAATTTAAGTTACTCTTGTGTCATGATGTAAACTGTCTAATTTGGAGAAAAAAATGTAGCTTACTGAAAAATAAAGATTTAGGCACTGTTGAGGAGCTGCCGTGTGATTTTTCTTTCTTTCTTTCTTTCTTTCTTTCTTTCCAAAAGGTCTTTTCAAACCTTTCTTGTTAGTTGTTCCATAATTACAGAAACTACAGTCAATATAGAGGAAAAATTACACCAAGTTCTTCCCCATCAGAGGGGAAAAAAGTGAAAAACCTTTTTTAAGCAATACCTTGCAAAAAAAAAATCTGATTGCCTTCAGGATGTAAAGTTCAAAGTGGCACTGTTATATTGTTATAAGCATCAATATGCATCACTCAGAATCAGCTGTTTGAACAATGCAATCCAGGATAGAAAGGCAAGGCAAGTTTATTTGTATAGCACAATTCAACAACAAGGTGATTCAAAGTGCTTTACAGAGACATTAGAAAAACAAATAAAAAGCATGATTTAAAATTGATTAAAACAAGCAAACAAACAAACTAATTAACAAACAAACAAAACAGTATATAAAATCAAAACAGATAAAATCAGAACAGTAGATAAAATCAGTAGTTAAATGTAAGTTTTGAAATTTAAGCTTAAAAGTGTGGATTTGGTGCTTTATTCAAATGCAGCTGAGAACAGGTGAGTCTTCAACCTGGATTTAAATAAACTGAGTGTTTCAGCTGATCTGAGGCTTTCTGGGAGTTTGTTCCAGATATAAGGAGCATAAAAGCTGAATGCAGCTTCTCCGTGTCTGGTTCTGACTCTGGGAACTGATAAAAGACCGGATCCAGATGACCTGAGGGATCTGGAAGGTTCATACTGGGTCAGGAGGTCACTGATGTATTTTGGTCCTAAACCATTCAGAGCTTTATAGGCCAGCATCAGAACTTTAAAGTCTATCCTCTGACGGACAGGCAGCCAGTGTAAAGACCTCAGAGCTGGACTGATGTGGTCCACTTTTTTGGTCTTAGTGAGGACTCGAGCAGCAGAGTTCTGAATGAGCTGTAGTTGTCTGACTGATTTTTTAGGTAACATCTCTCTCTTTT